TTAAATCTCGAGATATTCTTCAAGTTTGACGAGTTATATAATATGAAGGGGAATGATAAAGGATTTATTTGTATAGCCTTTTATCACAGATCATTGAAATCAATTTTTATACCCTTTTGTCAATTCCTTTATTGACATACCGAAAGGTAGAATTATTGAACAGTTTGCAATAAATTCCACTCTTCATTGTCTCCTTTATTGCTGCATTTTCAAACAGATTCGAATAGAATCCAACATTTTAAAAAAAAATTCCAATTTTTTAATACGATTTTTTTTTCAATGAAACAAAAAAAAATGTTTTATTAATCTTGTTTAATTTATGGATAATTTTATTCTAAGAAACAATTTATCTATCGAATAACTCTTAATGATCGCCATACGTTCTCTTTCATGCGACAATATAAATCAATTGCTAACTTCTTTTATTAAGTAACAGCTTTGTAAGGAAGTGGTTTATCGGAATTTTTCTCATCTGTCGATGCCACTTTTTAATCTATTAAACCTCAACAGGGGTATCCAGAGGAGGGAAGAAGGAGCAAATTGCCTGGACATTAGGGGACACTATACAATGATTTTTTTCTCGTACACTTCTTCAGTTTTAGGATCCCCCCAATATGTATATTCCCCATTGTTCGCGCCTCTCCAAAGAAGTTTTCCGGGTTTTCTTCACGTTAGTAACACCTAAATAGGGACCAGTTTCCTATAGAAAGTTCTCCCGGAGCATCCTCTAGTATAAAATCATTGTATTTGATATATATATTAGGCAAATTTCTCTCTTTAAATATGAATAGAGTAAAATATTCATTAATAAGAAAATTATTTTTAGATTTAACAATTTTTATTATCATTATCGCAATATTTTCTCCAGTAGAATTACCCTCGTTAACGAGCCAACCTACGACATATTTAATGTCTTTCTGAGAATAGAGCGTATCTCTTAATACCCTGATTATTAATTTAAAATGTCTTTATTAATAATAAAACGAACAAAAACGGAAAGTTATTATTTTATAATATTATTTGAATTGTTAAGCTAATTCAGAAGTTATAATTTGTATAAAAAAAATTCCTCTTTTTGTGATGATAAAATAATAATAATAAATAATAAAGTTAATGGTGACAATAGCATTTTTATAGCCTGCAAAAATCATAGAAATATTTTATGCAGTAAAATATTTAAAACAATTGACAACATTATTGCTGGACTTTCCGGACATTTCTTTTATTTGTTTTCATCCCTAGTAATTGCTACCATTACCTTTAAGTCTTCGGATTTGTTCGGAAGATATTAAGTGAGTGGGGCCATATCTCCCGAACCAATAGTTTGATTTTTATGAAAATTTCTAGAAACATTTCACTCTAATACATAAACCTCTCTGCAAAATTTCAATATTTTTCGACAAAGGGCACGGGAGTTATTAAGCTTTAAAGTGAGTGACAAAATAGTAACCCCTCCCACAAACACACACATACATACACTAGTATCCATAAAAACAGAAAAAACCCTTTCGATTTTTTGCATTTCTCGACGTTTAAAGGTTCATTTTTTTGACCGATCGCCACACTTTCCACGTTATATAACTACTAGAAATAGTAAAAATATTTAAATATAGTATGCTTTAACAGAAAAAAGAAAAAATTCCTACAAATTTAAATGTTTTACTAAGAAACTAGCCATTTTGCATTTGTCGTAATATTCAGATGTTGGATGAATAAATAGAGAAAACGAATACTAAACTAGCATGAATATCAAGTAAAATGAATATTATTTCCTCGATCGATCAGACGTTGTACTGTACAATTATCAATGCAAACTTTATTTATATGAATTTTAAATTTAGCATTTTTTTAAAAAAATTAATTAATTAATTAATCCGTGTTTCCAATTTAATCTTTAACGTGTTCGCATTAGAATTTTTCTTTCTTTTATTTTTTAAAATCGTCTAATTAAGCATTACTTATGCTTCTTTGAATCAGTTTATAAAGTAGATTAGACATTTTCTTATTATTTCTATCCTTTTAACACGTATAAATAGAATTTCTTTTTGTTTTCGACTCCATTTTGGCTCTTATTGTCGTCTTTTTAACTAGAGAGAGAGAGAGAGAATCGATAAAAGCAACTTATGGAAAGATAGAAGAATGAAACGAAAAAAATGACAAGTTTTAAATGACATATCTTAATAGACGAATCGAATTTTGTTGTAACGAAGACACTTTATTTAAATTTTCTCCTACTTTTTACCTTATTCTAGCTAATACCGAGATTACTTAGTAATTACAGTCATTAAGATCTTCTCCCCGGAAATAAAATGATATCGAAGACTACTACTAAAGGATTACCTTCTTTTTTATTTTTTTTGGTCCGAAAATTCCCTATAATAGGTATTTAAATTCGATACTCGAGAAGTTTTGTTACATAATCTCGGTTTTAATTTAAAAAATACCGAAGAGAAGAAGCTAAAAATTCGTATATCTTCTATATAAAAGTATATATTCTTTTATGCTATCTGTCAGAATTATTTTTTTGAAGTTAGGTGAGAACTTTAAAGGGAAACCGATGACAAGAACGATTTTGCTAAAGAAGAATAAGACGTCGGAAGAAGTTAAACCTCGTGGGATTGCTATTTATGAAGTTAGATTCGGCAGGAAACTGTCCTGGCTTTTCATAGAATACTTTCATTTTTAAAGTATAGAAGAAATCTGGCATTCATTTTTTTTTATTCTTATTTCAATGACATTCGAGCGAAACTTTCCCTCTGCTATGGTGGATAATATATTCTCCAACTAACAAAAGATTGGATGTTCCAGCTTGAAGTGTTTTGTTCTGCTTTGGGAATTCGTTGGCTCGCAACTCAATTTAATAAACAGTATACTGTGTTTTTTTTTTCTTTCTTAATATCACTCGAAATTATTTTTTTTGCATATTAAAGAGAGAGAAACTTCTGGAGCATTCGTTAGAATCTCTTCCTTTGTTTTTCATCCGTAAATCTGATTAACGTTTGACGAATTCTTAATATTTTACACTAATTAGGTATTAACTTGAGGCATAAAAATAAACAATTTCTACAAAGACACGCTACGAAACGTTATCGTGATCGTAAGCCCCTTTGGAGGACGTTAGAAGCGACCGGATTTACTAACATTAAAGAATGTTTAAACTTAACGTTAAATGTCAAATGGCTGTCAAAATTTAAAGCCGTATTTCTTATTATAAATGTAAATAGACTTTGACAATCTTTCCAATATTATTTTAAAAATTTAGACAACATAATCGAGTGATAGAACTCTATTTTAACTTTCCCATAAATCAAGAAGTTTCTATTAAGAAGAACCGACATAAAGTAATTTCCGTATTTAATCCGATTTATTAATACTGAAAAATCTCATAAATATTTAAAATTTTATTTATTTTTTTTTTTAAATCCGACTTGCGGTCACTAAAAAGAACAAAAGACCAAAGAGTCCGGATTCGATTCCTGATCCACTCTTAGCATTTATTAGATTAAAATACAAATTGATAAGTAATTCGGCTCTAAATTTACGTAATTTTAACTTTAAGTAGTTAAATAACATTAAAATTTTTAAAGATATATAATTAAATCTTGACCAGAAGTGAGACACTTAAGTTGACAATCTCCCTTAATTGATCGGTTTTGAAAAATAAAATAAAATAATAATAATAATAAAAAGATAAATAAATTTTACATCGAAACCGTGATTCTTTTTTTTTCATAGAAGATGGATGAGTATAATCCGGTTTATGGTATCAACAACAAAAAAATATTGACAAAGAAATCGATGGCACTTTTTCTACAGGGAAAAATTAAACCAATTCAACTAATGAAGAAGGGAAGAAAGAAAGAAAAAAAAACCCGAAAGGAGCTACCATTAAGGAGAATTGTAATTGTTTAATTTACATATTACATTCGAGATTTTAGTAAAAAAAAAAAAGGGGTTATTTAGATACGTCAACTAGGATTACGCGACTAAAATATGTCACTCGACAGAGCATCCACATCTCACTTTTCTATTATTTACTAAACTAACACGACATTATTCTTGAAAATCCTTTATTCTTTTCTTTTTTTTTCGGGTGAATAAGACAGACAGATTTAAAATTCTTATCACATAAACATTTATTTTTAAAATTAAAAAAAAAAAATCATGGCGTCGACGACACCATTAATATACAATATTTAGAGTAAATTAATTCATCCTAAGCGAGGAAACGTCTGTTCTTTAAATAATTTATAAAAATTTTGAATTTTTTAAAGTATGAAGTGATTCTAGAGTATGATAACTTTCGTATTGGCATCAATATGACTTATTAATGGTGCAAAGGAGAAGAATCTCGAACACTATATCATTCCAATACGTTGGCCATCGATCCAATTTTTTTGATTTATCCAGAATAAACATGCCAGATGCACAAAACCAGTCGAAATATTGTTAATTTAGTTTGAAAATAACATTATCTACGACACGTTTAATGCCTAGAGCCTTTTGTACGCTTTTGACAAGTTGAGAAATGTCAATTCCAGCTTCTCTCTATCTCTATCTTTCGGTACAGTCCTACTTAATTAAAATTCGTGTTTCATTTAATATTCTACACTTTATATAATATATTTATAGATTAATTTATATTACATTACATGCCAAACTAATTCGTTTATTATCGAGTATTAAATTTAATAGATTTTGATCATTCGGATTAAGATACTGTATTTGATTTTCGTTCACTCCATCGTTTCGAAATAATTAATTTTAAAGAAAAATCGTTGTAAATCGATATAAAACACCGAAAAAAATTCCCTATAATCACTAGAATTCGCTTAAACATCGCAACTATTCTAGATCGATAATGGCAAAGTTTTCTCGAGTGCCTACGAGTTATCCCGTTTCTATTTTATCAATTAAATCATCGAAGTATATTCGTTAAATCTCTGTGTTTTTTTTTTTTAAAATAAAGTTATTTTATTTAATTTTATTTTAATTTTTAGCTTCGGTCGAGTCTTGTCCCGCTCCTCCTTCTAACATTACTTTGGTGCTTACTGGTTGGTCACCGCCTGCGGTTCTTGTTAGGTGGCGCTATGATTGCCCCGTCGGTCTGCAGCACTTCGTACTCACATGCCGCGCATCAGTTGCCAGGTAAGTTCAAGTTACTTTACACTCGTCAAATCCCGATCCAAATAAAAATTCATTTATAAATATTAGACAAGGTAAGTAGATAATTAACTATTACAGATCGTAGAATAGTGATAAGCGCGAATTTTCTTTAAAAAAAAAAAAGAAATTATTTATCTTTAGTTTTATATTTTTCTACGTGCGCAACATTTAATAAAGAAGTTTGCCACATTATTTTCGATTGCCCCCGAGGAAATTTCTGTATATAAATATATATTTTTTTTTTTCCTTTTCCTCTCTCTCAATTGAAGACGTGAGGGAAACTTTATTACCGAATTTATGTAATTTTCCATAACTGGAGAAAGAACATTTCTCGATTATTGTTTGCTAATTTGACAGTTTCGTATAGAAAAAAGAAAAAAGAAAATGGCCGATACGTTTTTCTATAGGCGATACTTCCTAAATTGAATTAAAATTGAAGAAAACGTTAACGCTTTTCGAATTTCTGATAGAAACTAATTTCTTTTACAACGTAAGTTCGCTTCAGTGAATAATGAATGATCTTAAACGTTAGGAGCATTCATTATTCATTATGCAAATTTAAATTTTCTCTTTTCTAGTTCGATGGTAGAGAAGTGACTTTAATCTATCCGAAAAACTTTACCAAAGAAAAAGAATTTTTACTTGTAATTTTCTTATGTAAAGATAGTTTTGTTTTCATACAATTATATTCATTCTATTTTTACTGAATTTTATTTCCATTTTATTCCCTTTAAGTTTCCTTATACGAATAGAAATTCAATTAATTATCCCGTACTAATAATAATAATAATAATAATAAAACTTCACTAGTGATTTCTGTGATTTATCCAATTTGAATTTATTTTTTTTATTATTTAAAATTAAAAATTTAGTTAATAAATTGTGGAAGAGTAAAATGATAAAAAAAAAATATAGCCAGGAATATTATAAAAGTTAAGAATGGTAATTTCTAAATGGAATTAATAAGTAAAAATTGGCCGTCTCGTTGGAGAAAAGTAAGAATTACTGATTGATCTGGCTGCATTATCGATTCTAACTTAAGAGAAAGACGGGGGAGGATGTCTTTTAATTAATCAACCTTTCTACGCGTAAGCGGACAGATTGATCACTGAATAATTCCTTCCAATTAATGATTGATCGAGTTAAAACATATTAACCAAGCACATGTTGAATAAAAATCCTTCTGTCATCTTCTCTTATACATAATTCAAATGACATCAACGTAAAGGTTCTCCTTCATCCGTTACAGTTTATCTTAATTATCCGTCCCAATTTTAGTTTAAACTCATGAAAATTTGATCGAACTTTGACGTTTTTCGTATATTTCAACAGTAAAATAAGTGCCACCATTTGTTTTTTGTTTCCCCTCTTCTGTCGAAATTAATTATGTCGTGACGGAAATTGTTTTTTTCCCCCTTTCTTCCTCGCGATTATTCAAATTTTATTCCGAAAACGGAAGAATGAATAAAGTTACGTTCATAAGTCGAGTGGTAAACAAATTTCAATTTATATAACTATTTTTATTCTAGCAAAAAACATGTTTTTCTTTCCTTTAATCATAGAAGGAGAACAAAGAACTAAATAGATTTTATCATTAAATTTAGATACAGTCTCGGTGTATAATACAAGTAATATATAAAGAATCAGTTTTCTGATGCAGAAAAATATACTCTGAATATTCTATTCTAATATTATTTTTATTAAATTTATTACTCGAATAGTAACAATAATAGATAGGATATTAAAGTAAGTTTGTAATATCCTTTCTATCTTTTTTTTTTTTAATTTCGAAAGATATTTTTAAAAATTAAAAAAAGAGGAAGATTAAATTGACCAAAATCAGAGCTCGCAAGGATCGATTCTAATGGGCATTTACTGTACACTAACACGAAACTCGGTACATACAATATATACTATTCGCATCACAGATTTCGTAGTTTAAATTTTCGCCACTAGACGAAAATATGGCGGTTCGGGAACAAGTACAGTTATGTAATATTACGCAAATTAATGTAATTACGTGGCTGGGATATAATAGTGTTTGTCTGAATCGAAGGCCAGCGTAACACAGAATAACAGCGAAATACTTGCATACACCGTTAACACGTTGCTTTAACACGTTTTATTAGATTAATAATTTATATCAGTTATATTACCTTGGTTTTTTTATGACGTAAGTACTTTTTTTAAAATTGTTTCTATGCTAATTTCTCCTTTAATAAAAAAAAATATATATTTTCATTTGATATTAGCATTTTGGAAGAGAAAGAAACTCGATAGTTTTTGACCTTCTTAGATTTTTATCGAAGTGCATTTATAGATGAGCTGTGTCACACATGTGCAAAAGCAGAAAGAAAAACTGAATAAGCCACGTTAACAAATGGAAAAAAAAATATCCTTTGTAGAAATGAGATCTTGTTCTAGAAAGAAATTTTTAAAATTTGTGTATTTTATAAGATAAACTGTTATCAATTTATCAACATCATCTTAAGTTAACCGGTGGAGAAATATTTTGACGTAATAAATGATAGAGAAACCACACAACAACAACTTAGATCAGACAGCTTCTGAATACGAGATGACACTTTACTTCACTCCATATATATTATGTAAAAGTACATCTTTGTTTTCTTTCTAACGTATAATAAGTAGGGTGAATTGGATCAATTTCACTTTGGTTTTATTATTTCGGAAATTTCTTTTACCCATTTAACTTTCCCTACATTTAACTAAATTTAAATGGGAAATTTCTTTTACCCATTTAAATTTAGAAAGGGACTATCGAGATCGATAGTCCCTTTCTAATAATTCCTACTGTCTACCTGGCTTGCATCCATTTTGGGTTAGGTCTTGCCCAGAATGTGTATAACTTCAGACTAATCACACAATACAATTGTACTAAAGACATAATATTACATTAAAATTAATAAACAAGCGTGATATTTCAGTTTATTTCGAGTTTTTCCAAGTACTTTCTTAACTTCTAGAAACTCCAACGTGGTGGCATGGACAAAAGACAAAAATAAAGACATTTTAAAATACCACACTATAATCTTTAGCGTGGTCCATTTTATCCCAAATCTTCTTTAATAAATTATTAACTTTCTGGGATAAATTAAACACTAATATTCGTAAAATGAAGTTCTATTAGTTACTCAGTCAATGCATTTCTCTATGTTATTTGCTGATGTAAATTTGCATAGAAGGTTTTACATTTAGTCAATTAATTTTATAAATTGTAATTAAAATAATAGATTTTTAAGTAACATTTCAAAGGGGGGAAGAGAAAAGATAAATAGTAATTAAATAAATAAAAATTTCGGTAGGAAGACAATGTAGAATTTTAGAAAAGTTAATTTGAAAGGAGATAATTACGCACGTTTCTGACGTGATGTAAAGCATTAATTATTTGTATTTTTTTTTCTTCTATACTTTTAGTTATTTTAAGGCTGTTATAATCCATTTCGTGCTAGATACCGCATTATCCAAGAAGTGGATCCGAATACTAGAACAGTCACCCTGGATCATCTGAGACCCGGAGTCGAGTATCAGCTTCATCTGACAGCCATTTCCACTACAGGATCAAACATCAGTAGCCCAGTAATATCGTTCGTTGCCCCAGATGTCCGTAAGTTAACAAAGAATTGTCTCTTTTTATTTTTATTTTATCTCCGTTCTTAATTGAAAGAATAAATTGATTTTTGAAGAACGAACGTGTTCTCGTCTGGTACGCAGCTAATGATAACAAATTAGATGCGATAATGCGGCATCCTTTGTAATATAACTCCTGTCCACGTCTAAATTATTAGAAGTAGTTTAACAAAAAAGTGATGAAGTAATCGATACAAAACTAACCGAAACTTTCAATTAATAGGGTTTGGGTTAAAATATCATCGCGCTTAATGATCATTAATTAAAATTGTATAAATTAATTCCCTTGAGGGATCGAACGAAATGATAAACAAGGAACGACAAACGTCGATTTTAATCCCGTTTTCTTTTAATCAATTCTTCCATTTCTGTTTTCCCTAATCCTTTCTATGAATAACTTATCCGTAAAAGTATTAATTAACAAAAGAGACGTCCTTGATTAAAACAGCAACCGTTTCATTTATTTGTGTTTTTTTTTATTATTATTTTTATTTTTCTTTCCTCCGCAGAAAATGAAAGTACGAGAGAAAAAGAATCTTACGTGGAAGTCAACAATTTTTTAGTGAGAGAAGAAGAAGTTGTTATTGTTGTAATTGTGTTGATAGTGTGGGTAGCGGTCATCATACTATTCTTCAACAAATGGGGTAAAATAAGGATGTTAGAACCTTATCAGCCGGCGTACAGAAGTCAAACTTACACTGCAGTTTTGCAAAAACAGCAGAGGGTGCCCGATTTGAATCCTCCAGAAAAAACTTTGCAGAGATTCACGTCCTTTCCTACGTACAGTAATCACAGGTTTCGTCCTCGTCAAAATTCGGTGTTTGTTACGAGTCCATCCAATAGCAACCCCATCATGCACCAGATTGGGATGCCCAGGAAGGTGAAAAGTGCCGAAGATATTCAATCGCTAGTGGTACAAATCAACTGCAACGACATTCAGTCGACTGCGCTTTGAGTGATTCCATCCATTAAGAGTTAAGTCTGAGTTACATTAACGCCTCGCATTCTGCTATTTATAACAATAAAAAAAAGAAAGAAAGAAAGAAAGATTTGATAAAATATCAAAGGAGAAGAATAAGCGCCGGTTATTGATTCAATCAGGAAGCAAGACTATTAAAAATTCTTCTTTAATTTTCCAATTATTCCAATCATTTATTCCATTAATTCATATCTTTTTGTACTTCCCCAGAATATTAATAATTGAAATGATGTGCCGCACAATGATTTCCTAAATTTCCAATATCCTAAACTATGTATTTTGCATTCCACGGATATCAGATTTGACATTTCACTAGATACAATGAAATGACAGAATTTCATCAGGAGGTGTCAAAATGTCAAACTTATCCAGGGTTTTTCTTATTATTTTCTAAATAAGAATACTGTTTTTTTTTTTTTCTTTTGGTCTTCCGTATGCCTCTGATTTTTCCCCTATTTTATTCATATCTGTTGTGAATTTAGGGAATTTTGTTTACATCCTTAAGTTGGCAAGGCCTTACATAAATGAAAATATCTGAAGATATTCTAGTCTAGGGCCGAGAAGAACAAAAAGTGTACGAGCGAACCAAACCTATTGTGCCATTATCTCCCATTGATCATCTTCGAAGTTGTGTGCGGATTTTAAGAAATGAAGGTCCTCTGCCCATACAAAATGGAAAAAAAAAAGCAATAGCAGCTTTCTTTAATATTGCCTCACGTGTACAGAATCAGCTAAACAATAAATCGGAAGATATTCTTCCATATTTTGCAGATTTCTTAGATATTTTGCTGAAAACCGGTCCACTTTTGCAGTTGCCTATATATTTGTAGTTTTGCATTTTTATTCTACGTTGAAATATATTATAAAAAAATTTTATAATAGTGTACAAAATGTTGAATTTTAGCTAATGAACATTAATAATAGAAGGTAGAGCGTGAATATATCTAAACATAAATTTAAACTTTGCAAAAGAGGAAAAAATTCAACTAAGAATTGGAAAATTGGAAATAAAATTACAATGTATATAAATTTAAATTATAAATATAAATTATACAATATAATATATATATATGCCTAAATCTTGGCATTACGAGTATTTTTTAAAATAAAAAAAATGCATCTTGTATATTATAAAATTTAGATTATAATTAAATACTTAGAAGAAATTCGATCGAATAATAAGGATTTAAGTGCCTGATAGTAATAGCTGCAATGTATCTTGGGCTGTCCGTAAATGACGTCACACAGGAAGAGAAGGAGGAGGTTATGACGTGGGACAAAGTTGGAAAGGGGGGTGGTTGAGCTTCGGTGAACATCCGAAGAGGGGAGATTATGGAAATTTGGACAAACTGGGACAAGGGGAGAGGGGAAGTAAAAATTTCAAGGACGTAATTTATGGACCGCTTCTTATATAAAGAAGTGGGGTGGAAAAGTAGGTATACAGTTGTCATTATGAAAAAAATATATTTATTTTATGCATTAAGGAATATAAAATAATAATAATGATGAATATCAAAGGTCTTTATTTCTCAGATACACAACTGTATACTTACTTCTCACCGTCCTGTATATAATTAGAAATATTTTTATCGCTTAAGCTTCTATAATTTCTACAAAATACTGAATAATTGCTCTATAAAATCGATTTTTTTTTTAAATTTAATAATTATATTTATTTTCAGAAATTTAATTAGAATTAAACTATAGAAACATTGTTAAAACTCGAAGTGAGAAGATATTTATATAATTTTAACACATTACACATTTTCCTTGTATACTTCTATATAATTTTATATATATAAATTTTAATAGATTAAATTACAAAATTTGATAAAGATATTTATTTTTAAAACGGGTGAGTTTATTCGAAAGAATATAACAGATTAAATGCATGCACTTAATTATTCCAATGGACTTCTATGCATTTCTCATTCTAAATGTTCAATTTATATAACTCATAATAAACTATTTATATGTTTAAAACCGTAATTATGTTATAGACGAGTTTCTTTTTAATTAAAAAAAAATATATATATATAAATTATGCAAAAATAACAGTCTAAATATTAAACAAAATCATTCTATATTGTATAAATAATTATAACAGACGTTTTACGGATCTCTTAATATATAAAATTATTTTAAAATATATTATGTATATAAAAATTTAGATACAGTAAAACCTGCCTAAATGGTAAAAGACGTGAGATTCCATCTTATAAAGGTTTTACTATAAAATATAATAAAATAATAATTTATTATTTTAAATCTTTCATCAATTCGGTATGTAATTTATTTATTTAATTATGATAATTTAATTTTTAAACATTTTTTTATTATATATATATAAGAGAGAATTGTAAATAAAATTTTGGCAATATGTAAATTGGTCAATTAATGTTGCTGTTTGTATTAATTATAGTCTAGTTTTGCTACTGAAATTGGGTTGTAGATGCTCTGATGGTTTTCCAATAAATAAATAAGCCTCTTCCGTAACGTGGTCTCTTTTTATTTCCATCCAAATAATGCGGATGAGGTACATTTTGACAAGAAAAACACTTCAACCTTATCAGATATAACAGGAAACAAATTCGCATCGTCTATATTTAGTAACAATTCGTATAAAATGACGTTAAAAGTGATAAAAGATTTTAAAAATAATAATTAATAATTATAAATAATTAATAATTTTACTTTTAACATTTTTCTAAATTACACTTTTAAAATTCTTGTCTGTAATTATAGAAAAATGGGTCGAAATGATGATAGTTTTTTTGGCTACAGAAAATGGTATCAATGTATAAATAGCTTAATGTTAGTAACCAGGGCCTAGTGGGATTGCAATTTATATACAAAAGTAAGGAAGAAAAAGAGGTTAGGGATTCGGATCCACTTAATTTTGTAAATAAATAAATAAATCAAGTAAATCAAGCGCAGTTATATACAAGGTAAACACGGCTTTGCACGTTCTAATTCATCTCCCTCTAATATCTAGTTACGTTACTGTTTTTGGATTATGCAAGGAAATGCACTTGTAAAACACTTGTAAATTAAGTTTTAATTGTTGATTGATTTAATTATTGGCCTACAATTTTCAAATTTTAGCCCTTCTGTTCATCCGTTCTTCGTTAATCTTCGTGTATCTACTAATCTCGTTAATCTCTAGAATGGAGTTAAATACATGAAAATTTAATTTAAAAAAGTATTATATAAAGTTTTCTAGAAATTCTAGCGTGTAAATATTTTGTTTTTATATCGTAATAGATCTTAATTGATACCGCTATTAATGTAGAAATGTGAAAACTAAGCGAGTTCCAAGAGGGTGAGATGGGGAATAGTGGAATAGTTAAGTAGTGTTGAGAACAAAAGCTAAATAATACTTTAAAAATTCCAAGTAGAGATCGCAATTTGTAATGTTTTGAATAGGAATTTTCGACTTTGATCATATTTGTTCTCCAATAATTAAATAAAAAAATATTTTTATCTGGGTACATTAAAGTATAAAGACAGATGTTTTTGTTGTAGATCAATATTAAGTTATTTATTCAACAATAACATTAATTTTTATGTATTGTAGCTCCATTATAAGATATTATCTTAAAAAATGATTTAAAAAATAAAATTCACTTGCAAGTTTATCTATAAATGAATAAATTAACAAAAATCAATTGTATTAAAAATCCAGCAAAGTTGCCTAACTTTTCCGGCGAAAGATATTTACGTTTAAGAAACATTATAACAAATTTTTAAAAAATATTGGAAGTAGGATGATTTTTTTTTTAAATTTTCGGAATAAATATATTTATTTTTCATTAAATTAAAAATTTGTGCGAGTAATAACGTTCATAACTTGGAAGCTTTCTGAGATATGCCCCTCCCAATCTCTTAATATCTCCCGAACCGACGGTCCGATTTTCCTGAAAATTTCTAGAAAAATTTTCCCCTAATACACAAATCTCCCTGCAAAATTTCAGAAATTTTCGACTAAAGGTACAGGATTTATTAAGCTTCAAAATGGGGGAATAAAATCTTGTCCCTCGCACACGCACTAACGTTCATACATACAAAAAAAAAAACCCTCAATTTTTTCAATAATGATAAATAACGATCAATACAACTGATTGATTTAATATTTGCAATTGTATTGTACAATATTTTATAAATTATTAATAAATCTCTTAATAACAATATTGTTTGCATTTGTTTTCATTAGGCACGTGTACTATTTAAATTATTGACTTATGAAAATATACTTATATTAAGGACAAACATTATAAAAAGATATGTCACATATACGTAATGTATTACGTATTTTACGAAAGATTTACATTAAGGAAAATGTCCTATTCGTGTTTGAAAAATCGTTAAAATTTGCAAATGAATTGAAATCTTTTCTGTTTACAGCTCGTACCCATTATTCAATTTTAGAAAAAATACTTTTTCCTGTCATCTCTTTTAGTAACTGATTATAATTAATAGCGAAATTAAGGATGAAATTTCTTCTTAAAATGTCTGAATAGATCTTCAATATTCAAATCCTCTTTTCACTGTCTTAATAATGTATTGTATCCGAGTGTCATTGTTAGGAGTTCCTGTATAGAATTAGATGTAAATATTTGTATATTTTTGGTTAAGAATTTGGTTAATTTGTATTTTATTGACGGAGAAGTTACGCCGTTATCCATATGAAACCTTCACTGTTTCCATCTAGAGATAAAAAAAAAAAAAGAAAATTAAATACTAAAAGTTTTATTTTATACAACGATAATGTCACTTTAACAATTTATAATAAATTGTTAAAGCATCATCATAGAGTTTAGTTAATTTGATACTTCTCTAACTTCCNGACGTGAGGGAAACTTTATTACCGAATTTATGTAATTTTCCATAACTGGAGAAAGAACATTTCTCGATTATTGTTTGCTAATTTGACAGTTTCGTATAGAAAAAAGAAAAAAGAAAATGGCCGATACGTTTTTCTATAGGCGATACTTCCTAAATTGAATTAAAATTGAAGAAAACGTTAACGCTTTTCGAATTTCTGATAGAAACTAATTTCTTTTACAACGTAAGTTCGCTTCAGTGAATAATGAATGATCTTAAACGTTAGGAGCATTCATTATTCATTATGCAAATTTAAATTTTCTCTTTTCTAGTTCGATGGTAGAGAAGTGACTTTAATCTATCCGAAAAACTTTACCAAAGAAAAAGAATTTTTACTTGTAATTTTCTTATGTAAAGATAGTTTTGTTTTCATACAATTATATTCATTCTATTTTTACTGAATTTTATTTCCATTTTATTCCCTTTAAGTTTCCTTATACGAATAGAAATTCAATTAATTATCCCGTACTAATAATAATAATAATAATAATAAAACTTCACTAGTGATTTCTGTGATTTATCCAATTTGAATTTATTTTTTTTATTATTTAAAATTAAAAATTTAGTTAATAAATTGTGGAAGAGTAAAATGATAAAAAAAAAATATAGCCAGGAATATTATAAAAGTTAAGAATGGTAATTTCTAAATGGAATTAATAAGTAAAAATTGGCCGTCTCGTTGGAGAAAAGTAAGAATTACTGATTGATCTGGCTGCATTATCGATTCTAACTTAAGAGAAAGACGGGGGAGGATGTCTTTTAATTAATCAACCTTTCTACGCGTAAGCGGACAGATTGATCACTGAATAATTCCTTCCAATTAATGATTGATCGAGTTAAAACATATTAACCAAGCACATGTTGAATAAAAATCCTTCTGTCATCTTCTCTTATACATAATTCAAATGACATCAACGTAAAGGTTCTCCTTCATCCGTTACAGTTTATCTTAATTATCCGTCCCAATTTTAGTTTAAACTCATGAAAATTTGATCGAACTTTGACGTTTTTCGTATATTTCAACAGTAAAATAAGTGCCACCATTTGTTTTTTGTTTCCCCTCTTCTGTCGAAATTAATTATGTCGTGACGGAAATTGTTTTTTTCCCCCTTTCTTCCTCGCGATTATTCAAATTTTATTCCGAAAACGGAAGAATGAATAAAGTTACGTTCATAAGTCGAGTGGTAAACAAATTTCAATTTATATAACTATTTTTATTCTAGCAAAAAACATGTTTTTCTTTCCTTTAATCATAGAAGGAGAACAAAGAACTAAATAGATTTTATCATTAAATTTAGATACAGTCTCGGTGTATAATACAAGTAATATATAAAGAATCAGTTTTCTGATGCAGAAAAATATACTCTGAATATTCTATTCTAATATTATTTTTATTAAATTTATTACTCGAATAGTAACAATAATAGATAGGATATTAAAGTAAGTTTGTAATATCCTTTCTATCTTTTTTTTTTTTAATTTCGAAAGATATTTTTAAAAATTAAAAAAAGAGGAAGATTAAATTGACCAAAATCAGAGCTCGCAAGGATCGATTCTAATGGGCATTTACTGTACACTACCACGAAACTCGGTACATACAATATATACTATTCGCATCACAGATTTCGTAGTTTAAATTTTCGCCACTAGACGAAAATATGGCGGTTCGGGAACAAGTACAGTTATGTAATATTACGCAAATTAATGTAATTACGTGGCTGGGATATAATAGTGTTTGTCTGAATCGAAGGCCAGCGTAACACAGAATAACAGCGAAATACTTGCATACACCGTTAACACGTTGCTTTAACACGTTTTATTAGATTAATAATTTATATCAGTTATATTACCTTGGTTTTTTTATGACGTAAGTACTTTTTTTAAAATTGTTTCTATGCTAATTTCTCCTTTAATAAAAAAAAATATATATTTTCATTTGATATTAGCATTTTGGAAGAGAAAGAAACTCGATAGTTTTTGACCTTCTTAGATTTTTATCGAAGTGCATTTATAGATGAGCTGTGTCACACATGTGCAAAAGCAGAAAGAAAAACTGAATAAGCCACGTTAACAAATGGAAAAAAAAATATCCTTTGTAGAAATGAGATCTTGTTCTAGAAAGAAATTTTTAAAATTTGTGTATTTTATAAGATAAACTGTTATCAATTTATCAACATCATCTTAAGTTAACCGGTGGAGAAATATTTTGACGTAATAAATGATAGAGAAACCACACAACAACAACTTAGATCAGACAGCTTCTGAATACGAGATGACACTTTACTTCACTCCATATATATTATGTAAAAGTACATCTTTGTTTTCTTTCTAACGTATAATAAGTAGGGTGAATTGGATCAATTTCACTTTGGTTTTATTATTTCGGAAATTTCTTTTACCCATTTAACTTTCCCTACATTTAACTAAATTTAAATGGGAAATTTCTTTTACCCATTTAAATTTAGAAAGGGACTATCGAGATCGATAGTCCCTTTCTAATAATTCCTACTGTCTACCTGGCTTGCATCCATTTTGGGTTAGGTCTTGCCCAGAATGTGTATAACTTCAGACTAATCACACAATACAATTGTACTAAAGACATAATATTACATTAAAATTAATAAACAAGCGTGATATTTCAGTTTATTTCGAGTTTTTCCAAGTACTTTCTTAACTTCTAGAAACTCCAACGTGGTGGCATGGACAAAAGACAAAAATAAAGACATTTTAAAATACCACACTATAATCTTTAGCGTGGTCCATTTTATCCCAAATCTTCTTTAATAAATTATTAACTTTCTGGGATAAATTAAACACTAATATTCGTAAAATGAAGTTCTATTAGTTACTCAGTCAATGCATTTCTCTATGTTATTTGCTGATGTAAATTTGCATAGAAGGTTTTACATTTAGTCAATTAATTTTATAAATTGTAATTAAAATAATAGATTTTTAAGTAACATTTCAAAGGGTGGGAGAGAAAAGATAAATAGTAATTAAATAAATAAAAATTTCGGTAGGAAGACAATGTAGAATTTTAGAAAAGTTAATTTGAAAGGAGATAATTACGCACGTTTCTGACGTGATGTAAAGCATTAATTATTTGTATTTTTTTTTCTTCTATACTTTTAGTTATTTTAAGGCTGTTATAATCCATTTCGTGCTAGATACCGCATTATCCAAGAAGTGGATCCGAATACTAGAACAGTCACCCTGGATCATCTGAGACCCGGAGTCGAGTATCAGCTTCATCTGACAGCCATTTCCACTACAGGATCAAACATCAGTAGCCCAGTAATATCGTTCGTTGCCCCAGATGTCCGTAAGTTAACAAAGAATTGTCTCTTTTTATTTTTATTTTATCTCCGTTCTTAATTGAAAGAATAAATTGATTTTTGAAGAACGAACGTGTTCTCGTCTGGTACGCAGCTAATGATAACAAATTAGATGCGATAATGCGGCATCCTTTGTAATATAACTCCTGTCCACGTCTAAATTATTAGAAGTAGTTTAACAAAAAAGTGATGAAGTAATCGATACAAAACTAACCGAAACTTTCAATTAATAGGGTTTGGGTTAAAATATCATCGCGCTTAATGATCATTAATTAAAATTGTATAAATTAATTCCCTTGAGGGATCGAACGAAATGATAAACAAGGAACGACAAACGTCGATTTTAATCCCGTTTTCTTTTAATCAATTCTTCCATTTCTGTTTTCCCTAATCCTTTCTATGAATAACTTATCCGTAAAAGTATTAATTAACAAAAGAGACGTCCTTGATTAAAACAGCAACCGTTTCATTTATTTGTGTTTTTTTTATTATTATTTTTATTTTTCTTTCCTCCGCAGAAAATGAAAGTACGAGAGAAAAAGAATCTTACGTGGAAGTCAACAATTTTTTAGTGAGAGAAGAAGAAGTTGTTATTGTTGTAATTGTGTTGATAGTGTGGGTAGCGGTCATCATACTATTCTTCAACAAATGGGGTAAAATAAGGATGTTAGAACCTTATCAGCCGGCGTACAGAAGTCAAACTTACACTGCAGTTTTGCAAAAACAGCAGAGGGTGCCCGATTTGAATCCTCCAGAAAAAACTTTGCAGAGATTCACGTCCTTTCCTACGTACAGTAATCACAGGTTTCGTCCTCGTCAAAATTCGGTGTTTGTTACGAGTCCATCCAATAGCAACCCCATCATGCACCAGATTGGGATGCCCAGGAAGGTGAAAAGTGCCGAAGATATTCAATCGCTAGTGGTACAAATCAACTGCAACGACATTCAGTCGACTGCGCTTTGAGTGATTCCATCCATTAAGAGTTAAGTCTGAGTTACATTAACGCCTCGCATTCTGCTATTTATAACAATAAAAAAAAGAAAGAAAGAAAGAAAGATTTGATAAAGTATCAAAGGAGAAGAATAAGCGCCGGTTATTGATTCAATCAGGAAGCAAGACTATTAAAAATTCTTCTTTAATTTTCCAATTATTCCAATCATTTATTCCATTAATTCATATCTTTTTGTACTTCCCCAGAATATTAATAATTGAAATGATGTGCCGCACAATGATTTCCTAAATTTCCAATATCCTAAACTATGTATTTTGCATTCCACGGATATCAGATTTGACATTTCACTAGATACAATGAAATGACAGAATTTCATCAGGAGGTGTCAAAATGTCAAACTTATCCAGGGTTTTTCTTATTATTTTCTAAATAAGAATACTGTTTTTTTTTTTTCTTTTGGTCTTCCGTATGCCTCTGATTTTTCCCCTATTTTATTCATATCTGTTGTGAATTTAGGGAATTTTGTTTACATCCTTAAGTTGGCAAGGCCTTACATAAATGAAAATATCTGAAGATATTCTAGTCTAGGGCCGAGAAGAACAAAAAGTGTACGAGCGAACCAAACCTATTGTGCCATTATCTCCCATTGATCATCTTCGAAGTTGTGTGCGGATTTTAAGAAATGAAGGTCCTCTGCCCATACAAAATGGAAAAAAAAAAGCAATAGCAGCTTTCTTTAATATTGCCTCACGTGTACAGAATCAGCTAAACAATAAATCGGAAGATATTCTTCCATATTTTGCAGATTTCTTAGATATTTTGCTGAAAACCGGTCCACTTTTGCAGTTGCCTATATATTTGTAGTTTTGCATTTTTATTCTACGTTGAAATATATTATAAAAAAATTTTATAATAGTGTACAAAATGTTGAATTTTAGCTAATGAACATTAATAATAGAAGGTAGAGCGTGAATATATCTAAACATAAATTTAAACTTTGCAAAAGAGGAAAAAATTCAACTAAGAATTGGAAAATTGGAAATAAAATTACAATGTATATAAATTTAAATTATAAATATAAATTATACAATATAATATATATATATGCCTAAATCTTGGCATTACGAGTATTTTTTAAAATAAAAAAAATGCATCTTGTATATTATAAAATTTAGATTATAATTAAATACTTAGAAGAAATTCGATCGAATAATAAGGATTTAAGTGCCTGATAGTAATAGCTGCAATGTATCTTGGGCTGTCCGTAAATGACGTCACACAGGAAGAGAAGGAGGAGGTTATGACGTGGGACAAAGTTGGAAAGGGGGGTGGTTGAGCTTCGGTGAACATCCGAAGAGGGGAGATTATGGAAATTTGGACAAACTGGGACAAGGGGAGAGGGGAAGTAAAAATTTCAAGGACGTAATTTATGGACCGCTTCTTATATAAAGAAGTGGGGTGGAAAAGTAGGTATACAGTTGTCATTATGAAAAAAATATATTTATTTTATGCATTAAGGAATATAAAATAATAATAATGATGAATATCAAAGGTCTTTATTTCTCAGATACACAACTGTATACTTACTTCTCACCGTCCTGTATATAATTAGAAATATTTTTATCGCTTAAGCTTCTATAATTTCTACAAAATACTGAATAATTGCTCTATAAAATCGATTTTTTTTTTAAATTTAATAATTATATTTATTTTCAGAAATTTAATTAGAATTAAACTATAGAAACATTGTTAAAACTCGAAGTGAGAAGATATTTATATAATTTTAACACATTACACATTTTCCTTGTATACTTCTATATAATTTTATATATATAAATTTTAATAGATTAAATTACAAAATTTGATAAAGATATTTATTTTTAAAACGGGTGAGTTTATTCGAAAGAATATAACAGATTAAATGCATGCACTTAATTATTCCAATGGACTTCTATGCATTTCTCATTCTAAATGTTCAATTTATATAACTCATAATAAACTATTTATATGTTTAAAACCGTAATTATGTTATAGACGAGTTTCTTTTTAATTAAAAAAAAATATATATATATAAATTATGCAAAAATAACAGTCTAAATATTAAACAAAATCATTCTATATTGTATAAATAATTATAACAGACGTTTTACGGATCTCTTAATATATAAAATTATTTTAAAATATATTATGTATATAAAAATTTAGATACAGTAAAACCTGCCTAAATGGTAAAAGACGTGAGATTCCATCTTATAAAGGTTTTACTATAAAATATAATAAAATAATAATTTATTATTTTAAATCTTTCATCAATTCGGTATGTAATTTATTTATTTAATTATGATAATTTAATTTTTAAACATTTTTTTATTATATATATATAAGAGAGAATTGTAAATAAAATTTTGGCAATATGTAAATTGGTCAATTAATGTTGCTGTTTGTATTAATTATAGTCTAGTTTTGCTACTGAAATTGGGTTGTAGATGCTCTGATGGTTTTCCAATAAATAAATAAGCCTCTTCCGTAACGTGGTCTCTTTTTATTTCCATCCAAATAATGCGGATGAGGTACATTTTGACAAGAAAAACACTTCAACCTTATCAGATATAACAGGAAACAAATTCGCATCGTCTATATTTAGTAACAATTCGTATAAAATGACGTTAAAAGCGATAAAAGATTTTAAAAATAATAATTAATAATTATAAATAATTAATAATTTTACTTTTAAAATTCTTGTCTGTAATTATAGAAAAATGGGTCGAAATGATGATAGTTTTTTTGGCTACAGAAAATGGTATCAATGTATAAATAGCTTAATGTTAGTAACCAGGGCCTAGTGGGATTGCAATTTATATACAAAAGTAAGGAAGAAAAAGAGGTTAGGGATTCGGATCCACTTAATTTTGTAAATAAATAAATAAATCAAGTAAATCAAGCGCAGTTATATACAAGGTAAACACGGCTTTGCACGTTCTAATTCATCTCCCTCTAATATCTAGTTACGTTACTGTTTTTGGATTATGCAAGGAAATGCACTTGTAAAACACTTGTAAATTAAGTTTTAATTGTTGATTGATTTAATTATTGGCCTACAATTTTCAAATTTTAGCCCTTCTGTTCATCCGTTCTTCGTTAATCTTCGTGTATCTACTAATCTCGTTAATCTCTAGAATGGAGTTAAATACATGAAAATTTAATTTAAAAAAGTATTATATAAAGTTTTCTAGAAATTCTAGCGTGTAAATATTTTGTTTTTATATCGTAATAGATCTTAATTGATACCGCTATTAATGTAGAAATGTGAAAACTAAGCGAGTTCCAAGAGGGTGAGATGGGGAATAGTGGAATAGTTAAGTAGTGTTGAGAACAAAAGCTAAATAATACTTTAAAAATTCCAAGTAGAGATCGCAATTTGTAATGTTTTGAATAGGAATTTTCGACTTTGATCATATTTGTTCTCCAATAATTAAATAAAAAAATATTTTTATCTGGGTACATTAAAGTATAAAGACAGATGTTTTTGTTGTAGATCAATATTAAGTTATTTATTCAACAATAACATTAATTTTTATGTACTGTAGCTCCATTATAAGATATTATCTTAAAAAATGATTTAAAAAATAAAATTCACTTGCAAGTTTATCTATAAATGAATAAATTAACAAAAATCAATTGTATTAAAAATCCAGCAAAGTTGCCTAACTTTTCCGGCGAAAGATATTTACGTTTAAGAAACATTATAACAAATTTTTAAAAAATATTGGAAGTAGGATGATTTTTTTTTTAAATTTTCGGAATAAATATATTTATTTTTCATTAAATTAAAAATTTGTGCGAGTAATAACGTTCATAACTTGGAAGCTTTCTGAGATATGCCCCTCCCAATCTCTTAATATCTCCCGAACCGACGGTCCGATTTTCCTGAAAATTTCTAGAAAAATTTTCCCCTAATACACAAATCTCCCTGCAAAATTTCAGAAATTTTCGACTAAAGGTACAGGATTTATTAAGCTTCAAAATGGGGGAATAAAATCTTGTCCCTCGCACACGCACTAACGTTCATACATACAAAAAAAAAACCCCTCAATTTTTTCAATAATGATAAATAACGATCAATACAACTGATTGATTTAATATTTGCAATTGTATTGTACAATATTTTATAAATTATTAATAAATCTCTTAATAACAATATTGTTTGCATTTGTTTTCATTAGGCACGTGTACTATTTAAATTATTGACTTATGAAAATATACTTATATTAAGGACAAACATTATAAAAAGATATGTCACATATACGTAATGTATTACGTATTTTACGAAAGATTTACATTAAGGAAAATGTCCTATTCGTGTTTGAAAAATCGTTAAAATTTGCAAATGAATTGAAATCTTTTCTGTTTACAGCTCGTACCCATTATTCAATTTTAGAAAAAATACTTTTTCCTGTCATCTCTTTTAGTAACTGATTATAATTAATAGCGAAATTAAGGATGAAATTTCTTCTTAAAATGTCTGAATAGATCTTCAATATTCAAATCCTCTTTTCACTGTCTTAATAATGTATTGTATCCGAGTGTCATTGTTAGGAGTTCCTGTATAGAATTAGATGTAAATATTTGTATATTTTTGGTTAAGAATTTGGTTAATTTGTATTTTATTGACGGAGAAGTTACGCCGTTATCCATATGAAACCTTCACTGTTTCCATCTAGAGATAAAAAAAAAAAAAGAAAATTAAATACTAAAAGTTTTATTTTATACAACGATAATGTCACTTTAACAATTTATAATAAATTGTTAAAGCATCATCATAGAGTTTAGTTAATTTGATACTTCTCTAACTTCCATCTAAAACTTAATTGAACTGTCAAATTCATCAAATTAATTATTCATATAATTTAATTTTAAAAATTATATTTACCCATTAGACTTATATATCAAATTAATTTTCATACTGAATTATTATTCAAATTAACTATAAAAATTAATCTTTATACAAAATAATAATAATAATTTTAAAATATAATTATTTATTCTCTTCTCAGAAAGTTTCCTGCAACTTTTCTTCAAAGTACCTTATTTTAATTAATTTTGGCTCATTTAATAATCATAAATAACTGATCAATAGAAGATATATATATATACACACACACGTGTACACTTATGATGCGGAAGATTTGCTGCCTTCCGCATCATAAAGTGGCTATCCAGTTCGAAAAAACTGAGATGTGGATAAAAGAAAACACTTAAGAATGATAAAATATAGACTATATGTTATATATTTTTTTAGGAATTTATCTGAATCGTTAGTAGCTTAATTTTCAGAGTAGGAATGAGTTTTATTTAAAAACAAAAAATTGTAAATGACGAGTAAAATCGTCATTAATTCCGACTCTACTTGTGATACACACGATCCCCATTATCTCCCCATCCTCTCGATCTTTAATCACCAAAATTTAACGGTATCAATCTTCTTAATAAACAAATCTTCCTGGAAAATTTCAGAAATTTTCGACAAAAAGAATAGTAGTTATTAAGCTTGAAAGAAGGTAAACAAAATCGTGCTCCTCATACATATTAACATCCATACATACAGAAAAACACTCAATGTTTTTTGCATTTCTCGACGTTTCAAGGTCTCCTGATTCCAAAAATGTAAAATTTTTTACTTTTTTTCACTTATTTTTTACTCTGTTATGTATAACAGAGCCGGAAAAGTAAAAGTGAAAGGTCAAAATAATAGTCCAGGCTTGGTGGGCCGTAATGAGATTCTACACCTTATATAAATATTAATCAAAAAAACACAATATGTAATTACTTCATAATTTTGACGAGAAGGTTAATGTATAGTAGAATTGTCATTGATAGGAATTCAATTTATAAAAATAGCATCTATTCTCAAGCCACGTGGAATCGTTTGAAAAAGATGGATAGATAATACGTTACGAGTAGCTTTATCTTGTGAAATGAATCACAGAAATATTGACAATATAATATTAGAAGAGACATTAATCATACGAAATAA